CTTATATGTGTTTGAGTATCACACTGTGGTATCACCGGAGGATGGTGGCCGAAGGCCGGAGGACGGTGGCCGGAAGACGGGGACGGAGAGAAAAGAGAGGAGATAAAATACCTAAAATGTCCTTCCATTAAAATTTTAATTAAAAATTACTAAAATTAAAAATTTTCTAATTTATCTATTGATTAGTGGTTGAAATTGGATCTCACGGTTACCACAAACTAACCAGTTCTTTCTTGAATGGACCCCTATATATATATATACACACACACTAATTTTAATATAAATAAAAGAAATTCGAAGGCCCATGGAGATCATAGGCCCCGAGTGTCGACACCAATGACACACCCCTAGCACGGCCCTTGCCTCTACCCTTGGATTGGAATTTGGATGGTAGATAGATTGTTTTTGGAAAGACTAACGACTTGTAAAACAAAAATAAAACAAACAAAGAGACACAAATGACATAATTGTATGCAGACAAACAACGCTAAATGCTTATAACCAACATAAGATAAAAAATAAAACAAAGCATAAATAAGACCTGCACCATACAAGTATAAAACTCGTGTAACTTAAACATCATTACTCTGGAGTCTAGTCTTCCTCTATAAACTACTATAATATATATATATATATATATATATATATATATATATATATATATACTAGAATGGTGCTCGCGTAATGCAGCGAGATACATCTTTATTTTAATGTTTTATTTTATTATTTGTCTCTGTCGATGTTATAATACGATTTTACGTGTTTAAAAAAAAACAATAATGATTTTATTTTTGAATAAAATATAAATTTGAAAAATATATATCAATGTTAATATCAAATCAAATATTTAAAAGTTCTTTTTTTTATGTAATTTCTTTAATTTGTTTTTTATTGTAATTTAATTTAAGTTTAATAATGAAATAATTTTTTTTTGGTTTAATATTAATATAACATTTTATAAAGATAATAATTAAGTATTCCGTTAGAACTCAATGATTAACCTAATTATATTTTAAATTTTTTATATTTAAAATGAGATGTTTATCATATATTTGATTTTGTTTATCTGCAGTTAGTTACACGAATTCAGATATGAAGCTTTAATAAGTTGTACTTACGCATAATTTACTTGTAATCTTAAATTTTAAGTAATATGCATCAACAAACAGTACTTCATGCATAAAAAATGGTTTTTAAGAATTTTTGTCAAATGTTTTATAAGATATAGCTTAAATGTATATCCAAATTTTTATAAAAAATTTGGGTTAAATAGTTATTTTTTATTTACATTACAAGATGTTTCATGTGATAGTTAAATACTTCAATTTTAACACTTTAAGATGATGACATGACACAATGAGAATCAAGTATTTGCCAAATGGTGAAATTACCGTGAATTTTTTATTGTCACACATTGATAACAAAAGTGAAAGTTGGAATCAATATATCAATCATCAATATGTGTGTGTGTGTGTGTATATATATATTAAAGGAATAACCAATGTTGATGACATGCACAATGAGAATCACGTATTTATTAAATGGTGAATTGTGATGAATTATTGATTGTCCTACATTTGAAACAAAAGTGAAAAGTTGGAAATACAAGAGACTATATAAATGATAAGATATAGCTTGAATGTATATTCAAATTTTTATCAAATTTTTATCAAATTTTATTTTTTTATGTACATTACAAAATATTTCATATAATAGTTAAATATTTCATTTTTCAAAACTTTAAGATGATGACATGACACAATGAGAATCAAATATTTTATCAAATGATGAATTGTGATAAAATTTTTATTGTCATATAAAGGAAAACTTTAAGATGATGACATGCATAATGAGAATCAAGTATATATCAAGTGGTGAATTGTGGTGAATTCTTGATTGTCCCACATTGATAACTGTAACACCCCACCAAGTACTAACTCGTAGTAACAAGTACTAATATTCGAAACACATACTATAACATACATCAGGATTCAATATTTACAACAACTGAGTATTTTTCATATAAAGAACAATAAGTCTGAACTCAAATTTTCATCATAACAAAAACATAACAAAAACTTTCTTCCACAATTCTGTTACATCTTCCCTTTGTCTTTATCTTTTCAACGTTGGATGACCTACAAAATGAATTATTACCACAACTGAGGGTTAGACCGGAATGTATAGCGAGTGAATTCCCTCCTGTAAATAAAATATGTCATATCACTTTAATACAATTTAGACATGATTTATAAAGATAAATTTTTATCAAACATTCATCGTGGTTACACCGCCATATATCATAATAAGTAAGTCTATTGGTTAATATTCGAAACACCCTAATTTGAGCAACATAATGAGCTATATTGAGCAATAAACGTTCCCATCCAGATACTATCCTGAGCAATGAATACCTTTGTCTGGGCAACACTGTGATTGTTGAGGACCCATATTCGGACAACACTGTGAGCAATGAAGACCCATATCCGGACAACACTTTGAGCGATGAAGGTCTAATTCGGACAACACCTTGAGTGATGAAGGTCCAATTCAGACACCATTTTAAACGATGAATACCCAATCCGAACAACACTTTGAGTGATGAAGGTCTAATCCAAACAACATTTTGAGGGATGAAAGTCTAATTCGAACAACACTTCGAGTGATGAAGGTCTAATTCGGACAACACTTTGAGCGATGACGATCTAATCTGAACAAAAATTTGAACGATAAAGGAACTTTATCGGATAACACTGTGATCGATAAAGGTCCTTATCAGACATGGCTATGTGCGATGAAAAAGTATAACGTATTTGATGTAATGATAATTTGATACCATTACACCATCTAATATCATAAAACAAAACAATCTTTATGAAATGTAATACTCATATCTATCAAAACAATGTAAAAACTCATATTTGCCTAAAACCTCAATGAATGCTTTGCTTCCTTCCCCTTTCAAAAAACCAGAAACCTTTCTCAGTCCCATCATACTTACTATTTATAGTAAGTAAAATATAAGAAGAAGGGGGATGAGCCGGTGCATGGACATGCACATCCTCCATGAAAACCACTATTCTCAAACACATAATTGGACTAAATTCACAAAAAACACAAAAAGGTGATGAATGTTTCACCATTGGTCCCCCATCTTCAAAAAATGCCAGATCTTTACCCCTGAACTCCATAGCTATAAACGTTCAAAACCCGACCAACTATAACTTAAAACCGAATATTACAATAACAAAAGTGAAAAACCTTGAGATGATGACATGACACAATGGGAATCAAATGTTTACCAAATGGTGAATTACGATGAACTCTTAATTGTCCCACATTGGTGACAAAAATGAAAAGTTGGAAGTACAAGTGACTATATAAATGATAAGATATAGCTTAAACATATTTCTAATTTTTGATCCAATCTTAAGTTAAGTAGTTATTTTTTATTTACATAGCAAAACATTTCATGTAATAGTTAAATATTTAATATAATAGTTAAACATTAGTTGAGTTTTAGTTGTCTCAAATTAGTGAATAGTTGAAAGATTTGAACAAAGTGAAGTGCATAAAAGATGGATCAAGATACATTTGTGTTAAATTATGGGGTTTGACTTATAATATTGTCCTATTTCGAATGATAATTTTTTGAAATTTATAGCCATAGTTAGAACCAAAACCAACTAAATGGTAAAAAAATATGGTTCAAATATAAAAGTGAAACAAAAGATGATGACTTGACAACACGAGATTTGAGTGTTCCTCAAATCTGAAATAAATATGACTGTCACCATCTCATAGTGGTAGAAAGATGATAGTTTGAAAGAAGATGCGTTGAAATCTATAACCATGACTGAAATCAAAACTAACCAATTAGTAAAAATATTTGTGCAAAATAAATGCAAATGCTATTGTTTTTCTTAACATGATAATTACAATACTTATAGTAACAAATGTAGTGTAAGTGTTTATATATCACTTATATATACATGAAATGAAGTGTTGACTTAATAACGTACTTCCATTTGATTTAATATTCTTTAAATCGTGATTTACGGTGTCGGACGGGACGTTATAAATATAAATACGATCCCGATGTTTTAGACACATCGCACTTCCGTTCAGGTCAAAACTTTTCCATTTTTTCTTAAACTGAATTTTGATCACGACACAACACGCGATGTAAGACACTAGTTAGAAATAAAGAGAGAATACATTAATATGTTACATTCATTTGCAACCTTCTTTTTTCATGTTATAAATTATGAATTAAAAATAAAAAGAGAATATATTAATATGTTATATTTTTTTTTAACATGAAAAATATTCAAGAAGAAAAAGCTTCAAGAAATATATGGTTATAAGTTGGGTGGTTTTCTTCCTATAAATATTAAAGGGGTGTTTGAGATTGTTTATTTGAAACAACTTATATTTTTCTATAAAAGTCTTTATCAACTTATTATAAGTTAAAATCGTTTAACTTCTTCAAAAACTTCTTATTACCTGTTTGACACCAGTATAAGTTGTTTATCAAAACACTAAAAAATGTTTATTACCGGTACTACACCGAAATAAATCAATAAATTATTTTTGTAAATAATCCCGAAAACCCCCCAAAAAAAGAAAAAAAAAGAATGAAATAATAAAATGAAAAAACCAAAATGCCATTTTGATCGCAAGGCAAGGGCATTTCCGGAAATTCGGCAGGATGCAGCGCAATTAGGGCAATGAATAAAAAAAGCAGACAGCAAAAGGAAAAAAGAAAAAGAAAAAGAAAAAGAAAAAAAAATAAAATATTTATTTATTTATTTATTCTTAATTTCTCAAACCGGACGCCAAAAGAGGAATAAATTCGGGTTTAAAGGGGTGCCGTTGAGATACATAAGAAAAGGGTAACCTACCCGTCATTTTAACGTGGCTTTTTATTTTATTTTGTGTCTGAGCTTATCAACTTCACGTTCTCCCTCTCTCTCTCTCTCTCTCTAAGAGATTTTCCAAACGCACAGAAAAAAAAAATTGATATTCAACTTCTTTTTCTTCTTCTTTCTTTCACTTGCGGCGGTTCATTTCTCAAATCGAACCCTAATTTTCACCGATTTCGCCCACTGTCGGAATTTCTTGCGAGACTCTGTTGTTCTGGTGTGTTGTATAACAATCCTTTCAAAGAAACGTTCTATTGATTCATTTATCGTTTCGAATTTTGTGGCGGATGCGTTTATTTGAAGGTCGGTGGTGGCCTGGTCGTGGAGCACTTGTCGGAGTTGATTTTTGATTAAATAGGTTAATTGATGCCGCCGGAGCCATTGCCGTTCGATCGGAAGGACTTCTTCAAAGAGAGGAAACCGTCGTCTTCGGACCCGGCAGGGGTTGTCCCGGCTCGATGGAGAGAGCCGCCTACCACTCCATCTTCTCACCCTAACAACCACGGGCCTTTCTCTTATCGTTTGGGCGGTGCTGGTGGATCCTCTGATTTCCGCCGACCCATTTCTGGTTAGTACTTTTATAGTGTTCTTTCTATTTGACGGTAATAGGGCTTCGAAAACAAAAATTTGATTGCTTTGATATTAAAAGCACTGAAACTTGAATAGCTGCTTAGGTTTATGACCTATGTTGCTTCTCTCCTGTGTATCCATTTCCCCGGTGCCCAAATATGCGCAAACGCGCTTACAGGCATATGGAATTGAGGCAGATCTGAGAGGATAATTATTGTTAACCAGTGTATACTCCGTCCGTCTAAAGATTCGAGAGCCCTTTCACTTGCGATTTTCAGAGGGGGTTTCAATTTCATCCGTGGAGCAAGTAATTTTTTAGATCTGATATTATTTCTTGTATTTGATGGTTTGGGATCTGGAGATGGAAGGAGTTGCACACGCCTTCAAGAATTTTTTTTGTCTTGATGTGGGATATTCTTTACTTGCGTTAATTGATTTGGTGATTTTTCCATTGTTTTTGTTTCTTGGGTTTGAATATTGCTGCTGAAGGTCATGGTAAGCAGGTTGGCGGTGGTTGGCACGCTACAGCAGTGGAATCTGGGCCGCGTGAGGACAAGTTATGCAGGAACGATAGCAGTAGAGAAAATAATCATAGCAGTAGTGGGGCGTTGGCCTCCATCAGTCAGAAAGACCGAAAAGGAGGAAACTCTAGGGAGACCACTGTTTCACCACATGGCAATTTTCATCCCCATCCCGACTTTATAAATTCGTGGGACCAACTTCAGTCCAAAGACCTACATGACAAGAACAATGGTGGTGGGGTTTGTACTACAGGAGGCCAGAGACTCGAGAATGAGAGTTCATTGGGATCTTCAATTGATTGGAAGCCTCTCAAATGGATTCGATCCGGAAGCTTATCATCAAGAGGTTCTGGTTTCAGTCATTCAAGTAGCTCTAAGAGCATTGGGATGGATTCCCTTGATATGAAGATAGATGTTCCACCAGGTAACAGCACCCCTCTTCAATCACCTTCTGGGGATGCTGGCCCCTGTCTGACACCAAGAACTCCTGCTGATGAGGTTAGCTCCCGTAAAAAGCCTCGTCTTGGATGGGGTGAGGGGCTGGCCAAATATGAGAAAAAGAAGGTTGGTCCTGATGATATTGTTGATAAAGATGCTGAAACAAAAAATGGAACAGTTGATGGTGTCAGCAGCTTAGAACCCTTGCTTCCTAGTCCTAATCTGCCTGATAAAAGCCCCAGCCTTAATGGTTGCTCAGAATGTGCATCTCCTGCTACTCCATACTCGTTTGCTTGCAGTTCATCTCCAGGTAATTTACATACTCTGATTCATCCTTTTCAGCTGCTCCTTTGATGTGTCATATCATTTTATTGTTTTCCTAACATACATTCATGATGAAGGAAGAAGGATTGTACTTTAGATTCTCGTGTTTGTTACTCTTTTTTTGAGGCTTTTAAAAAAATAGAAGAACAAAGAGAGAACAACCTTTTTCAGTGCTTCTTTATGCGGTGATCTGTGTGTATGTTTAGTGCTATTTAATACCTATTACTCCTTTATGGCCATATATGTTGATCTATGCTGTCATATATCACTACAAATACATTTTTCTTTAACAAATTGCTTTTAGTCGTTTATCCGGTAGCAATACAGATATCAGGAACACAGTTTGATGATTTAAAGTAAACCTATATCAGGCCCCTATTATATTTATGCATTTTCTATCGCAACTTTGCACTTGAACTCGTCACTTTTATGGTAAGTGATCACAGTGGCGGAGATTCTGGGGCTAACTCCTTAGCGTTATTTTGTCTAGATTTGAGGCTAACTTTTTAGGGTTAATTTGTTTAGATTTGGGCTCAACTCTTTAGGGTTAATTTGTTTAGATTTGAGGTTATCTTTTTAGAGTTAATTTCTTTAGTTTTAGGGCTATCTCTTTGGGTTTAATTTATTTAGGGTTAATTTGCTTATATTGATGTTAACTTGCGACCAACTTCAGGGTTAGTGCAATACCCAAGAAAAAGAGTGAATGATTTGGAGAAGAATCTATCAATTTTTAGCGACTAAAATGTATATAATTTTAAAATTTTATATTTTAGTAACTAAAATAGACATAATGTACACAAAAGTTGACATGTTTTTTAAAGTATGTTTCTTAACATGTGTCTATTTTTAACGATATAATACATATCTAAATGAACATTTTTAGACTATACTTGTAAAATTGTAGGAATCTTGAAAATATATATTTTCAAACCTAAATGAAAAGAAAGTGTTTTGCTCTTGATATGTGATTTTTTATTTTATTTAATAATTAATTTTTATTATGTTAATTATTCTGTGACACCACAAAAAAATCTAGAACCACCTCTGAGTGATCGACTTCATAAAGGTTCCTTTTTATGATGAGTAATATTCATTATTCAGAAGTTCATTTCTTACTGTATTATCTATTTACAAGTCCTGATAGACAATAATGTGCTATGTAGCTTAATGGAATATATGAGATGAATTCTGGTATTGATGTTCCAAACACGGTAGTGATGAGAAATGTGCGACATAGGTTGGCCATATGGGATATAGGTCGAGATGATGTAATATTTTGCGGGTGTACTACAGTGTATTACCTCTCCAAGGAGACTCTACTAAGTTGGGTTGCTTTACTTGCTTCTTCCCCTTCCTCTTTTGTTTTTTTATTATTGATTTCACTTCTTATATGCATTAATCAGCTCGTTGTTGTCATTTATTTGTGATTGATATTGATGTCATCTTAAAACAATTTATTTGTTATCTGTTTAAGGATGGGTGAATTTAAAACTTCATGTGTTACTTTGGCATGGCAGGTCTAGAAGAGAAGGCATCAACAAAGACAGCTGCAATTGATAATGATATTTGCAATCCTTGTGTTCCCTCCTGTCATGTGTCTCATGAGCACACAGAGGGATCCACATTCAATTTGGAGAATCTGGAACTTACAGAAGTAGTTAATTTGAGCTCCTCACTTAACGAACTGCTGCAATCTGATGATACAAGCGGCCCGACATCTGGTTTTGTAAGATCTACTGCGATGGACAAGTTACAGGTATGGAAAGCGGACATTTCAAGGACACTCGAAATCACAGAATCTGAAATAGATTCGCTTGAGAATGAATTGAAGTTGTTGGTATCTGATGTTGGAGGTTCGTGTTCTCTTCCTGCTGCTTCCTGTTCTTTACCGACAAAATGCAATGTTAAGAATACAGACAGAATATCTGGATCTCTGCCCTTGAGAATCATTGCTTCAGGAGATACGCTTACTGAGAAGGCTGATGGTTCTGTAGAACTTGCCGGAGTGGAAGATTTAGATAGAGAAAGTCCAGGCACAGCAACATCTAAATTTGTGGAACCGTTTACTTTGTGTGACATTACCCCTTCTGATGTAGTGGAACAAAGGGATTCTTCGTGCATTTTGCATATAAGATCTGAGAACATGGAAGCCAAATGCTCTGGAGATAACGTTTGCAATGATATATTAGGTGTTGTAACTGCTTGTGGGGATGGTAGCCAGCTTCCAGCAGATGGTTGCATGTCCTTGGTACCCGTTAGTGGTGATGTACATTATAGTAGAACAGATAACTTATATGAGTTGGTATTTGATTCGAACAAAGTTTTAGCAAGTGTAGCATCCGATGAGTTTAGGAAGTTATTGCCAAGCAATCAATGGTGTAACTATACTCCGAGAGTCACTAATGACTCACAGATTAAGGAAAAGTTTGCTATGAGGAAGCGTTTCTTAAAATTCAAGGAAAGGGCCATCACTCTCAAGTTTCGAGCGTTTCAGTACCTCTGGAAAGAAGATCTTCGTTTGCTTTCTGTACCAAGATTTGGCGCAAAGTCACAGAAAAAGTTCGAATTGAGCTCTCGTATGGGGTATCCTGATTATCAAAAGCACCGGTCTTCCATTCGTTCTCGTTTCTCTTATCCTGGTAAGAAATTGAATAATTGAAAATCCTATTTGATGTTCTCTTTGTGGATGTGGGTGGTGGTTGTTTTATTTCTATCTAGTCCGTTTGCTTTAGAAACTGTGGTTGGCTTTTCTTGCACTAAATGTGGAATTTAGTTTTAAAGAGTTTGGGGTACCCATCTTGCACATGTGTGTGGAATGCGCACAAGTTTTTAGAACTTCAAAGGAGTGTAACATAAAATTTATGTGGCAAGTGATCAGTTGGGTGTCTATTTCTGATAAGCACAACCAAAACAATGATGGTGAAAATTTAATGATTACAAAGTCAATTGTCATTTGGCGACATGATAATGTACCAACTTTAAACACAAACTTTCAAGTTGTAATGTGGATTTTATTCATCAATTGATGCTGTTGGAACTCCTTTCTGAGGTGAATACAACTCCTGTTTAAATTCTAAAGTAGCACTTAAGATGAATAACTGGAAATATGAAGATTTCTAACATTCAATTAGAGGTAGACCAGTGGAAGTGCCTTTCTTAGGAAGTACTTAACCCCATATAATTGAAGTAATTATCATCTTAGGAAGTACTTAAACCCCATATAATTGAAGTAATTATCATGTTTGACATATTACCAGTAGCTTCTAGTTAGGTGATTGAAATACAGGTTCCTCTCTCTGTAGATCATTGGTACTGTTCATTGGTACAATAATATTTACTCTATTGCTTAGTAGAATGTAGACTAGTGCTTCTTCGGAATACCATAATTTACTCAATTCACTTTGTTGATCTTAAAGAGTTCATGCATGTCCATGAGGTAGTTTATGTCGATCATGTTACTTTGCATTGTTTGAAAACCTTGAGTGCTGGGAGGTTCTTTATTGTCTTCTGTATGTACCTCCCATTGACTTCTTGTATTGTCTAATACATATTATGAGGTCATGATCGTTAAATGCATGTCACCTCACTTCTTATCATAACCAAACCATATGGAACTAGTAAATGCATTTGTCACCTCGCTTCTTATCATGACCTTGTTTCTAGTTGTATTTGAACTTGATATTTAGGTTCTACCACAGAGGACCAATAACTTCCAACGAAAGGATTTCCTACCTTTAAGGTTATCATCTTCATGCTTTCCAGTTAATTGAAGAGCTAAAACTGGATTTTACCCCAAAAAACTGAAGTTTACCTAAAAGACTTGGTCCAACTGTTGATTAGCGTCCGCCTGGCTTCTGATCACGTGGTATATAGTTGGTGTTATGTTTCTATGCATGAACATGGTGTTTCTGTATTTCATGTGCTGATTGTGATAGATTGTTCTTATGTTTCATTACGATCAACCAATACTTTTAGGTTTTTCTTTGTATGGCTTTCATGTGTGTGTAAATTTCCTTCAATGTTCTCTGAAATCTTACTTCTGATATTCTTTCCACAGATGGGAATTTGAGCCTGGTTCCCACCAGGGAGATAATTGATTATGCAAGCAAGCTGCTTTCTGATTCACATGTCAGAGTTCACAGGAATACACTGAAGATGCCTTCTCTAATACTAGACAAGAGGGAACGTGCAACCTCGAGGTTCATTTCAGATAATGGGTTAGTGGAGAACCCTTGTGATGTTGAGTTGGAAAGGTCTGTTATCAATCCTTGGACTTCAGAAGAGAAGGAAATCTTTTTGGATAAGTTCTCTTTGTTCGGAAAAGACTTCAGAAGCATCGCATCTTTTCTTGAACACAAAACAGTTGCTGATTGTGTTGAGTTTTACTACAAAAATCATAAGTCTGATCGTTTTCAGAAAACAAAGAAACATCCGGAGTTCGCAAAACAAGGGAAGTCTCATTCTACTAATACGTACTTGGTCACATCTGGGAAAAGATGGAACCGGGAGATGAATGCTGCTTCACTTGACATGCTTGGTGCAGCTTCAGCCATGGCTGCTAATGTGGATGGTGGGAAGGAAAGGCGACAGAAATGTCCTTCAAAGTTTTACATTGGCACATCCAGGGATCACAAACTACAACGGGTTGATGGTGGCATCTTAGAGAGGTCAGATAATCTTGTAATGTCTTGTAATGAGCGGGAAACAGCTGCGGCTGATGTATTGGCTGGGATTTGTGGGTCTATATCATCCGAAGCTTTGAGTTCTTGCATCACAAGCTTGGCTGACCCTGGAGATGTCTATCACCAAGACCGGATATGCCAGAAACTGGGTGGTTCTTCAACTAGACAGCCTGCAACACCCGATGGCTCACAAAATGATGTTGATGAGGAGACTTGTTCGGATGATAGTTGTGGAGGAGAGATGGGTCCTTCTGATTGGACGGATGAAGAGAAGTCGAGTTTCTTACATGCATTGAGATCTTATGGTAAGGATTTCTCAATGATTTCACGATGCATGAGAACAAGGTCAAGAGATCAGTGCAAAGTCTTTTTCAGCAAGGCTCGAAAATGCCTTGGATTGGATGCCATCTATCTTGAACGAGGCAAAGAAGGTACAATGGGTGGCAATCGAGGGGGTGGGAGTGATCATGATGATACTTGCATGGTGGATAGTGGGTCAGTTATATCTTGCGATAAGTCATCTTCAGAATTTAAGGTGGATGTAGAGGACCTGCACTCATCTGATTCAAAGCAAGAACTTGCTGAATCTGATAGGATTGTAGCAAGCAGAGAGTCCGAGTTTGGGTCAGAGAATTTGGTATCACATGGTTGTGAGGCAGAAAATAAGCCTGAAATAGACTTGGTTGGCGGAAAGAATTCAAATGGTAATTTTGAGGAAGCTGCCGATAGTGAAGCTACTGGAGCTGCCAACATAGAGGAGGCCTCACGAAATACATATTCTGAAGGGTCTGTTAGAGAAACAAATGACCAAGCCTCTGCATCAGGTGCCAAAGCCGAAGTTGACACAGTTGACAAGGTGTCTTCTAAGATTTGTAGAGAAGAAATCCAGGAATCTGAACATCAGTTGGCCAGTTGGAACAGCAACACTAGCGAAGTAAGAGCATTAAATGCGTGTTCAGCTGAGGACCTTAATTCTGCTTCCCATTACTCTAGAGGTAGTTCTTTGGACTTAAGCATTGATCCCGGGAACAGTCTGGAGTTGAATGGTGTAGAAAATCCTTGTGAGGGGAATAATGGTTTTCTGGCATCAAATTTGGTTTGCCGAGATCCAATTGTGTCTCCTCATAGGAAGACTCTTAGCCAGGACGATACATCATCAGGCAGCCTCTCTTTCAGGAAGAGCTTGTCTCAAAGGTCTTCCAGTACTGATGGTTATCATCTGCATCTTCCCAAACATTCATTGATGGATTGTGTGGAATCCTCCCATATTCTCAGGGGATACCCTGTTACAGTGTCAACTAACAAAGGAGTGAGTGGAAGTCTTGGGCAAAACGAGTTTAAGTTGGACAAGAGTCTTCCACTGGAGCAGTGCTTGCCACGGGATTGCTCTCTTCAGATGTGCACCTCCTCATTATCTCATGAACAGAGACAAGGGGAAGTGGGAAAGCCAGGTGATGTGAAGCTTTTTGGTCAGATCTTAACTAATCCTTTGTCAAATGGTAAGTTTGAAAAACCAAATGGCAGAAAATCTTTTAACTTGAAGTTTGATAATCGTAGTTCGGATAGGAACTTAGCTTCACTGGATCTTGATAACCATGGTTTTGGTGTGAAGAAGAATGTTCCCTTGAGGAGTTATGGGTTTTGGGATGGGAACAGAATACAGACTGGGTTTTCTTCTTTGCCTCCTGATTCTTCTGTCTTGTTGGCTAAATATCCGGCTGCTTTTGGTAACACCACCAAGTTGGAAGAGTCTCATTCTTTCGTAAATGAACAACTAAAGGGTTTCCACCAGAGTAGAGAAGTGAACAGATGTTCCAACTATCATAATGCGTACATGAGCCAGGAAGGCATACAGCCTTTTACAGTAGATAAATTGTTGTTATCTGAGATACCTAGACGGAAAGATTCAGAGGGAGGAAGGGTAATGGTTTCGGACCCAGTGGCAGCCATTAGAATGCATTATGCAAAAACAACAGAACAGTACAAGAATGGCAATAGCAATAGCAGATGAAATTAAGCAAGGGTTTTGTGTATTATAATATATGGTTTTGTTTCTGGGATGGGGTGGGATGGCATGGCATACAAGTGCCGTCTTTTTTGGTAATTTTAGGTGCTTTTGGAATATTTGCAGCAGCAGTAGCAGCTTTGTATTTTGTTGTACTTATCAAAACACAATAATTACTGTGTCAAATGTTGTAGGAGAAAAGAAGGTTGCAGGCATACTTCTTCTCCCCTTAATTGTTGTCTTTTTATCTAAACAGGTCATGAAGGAAGGAAGGAAGCCTTGTTTATTTGGTGTTTGTGGATGTTGAATTGAAGTAGTGTTTCATGTCGTAAGCTTTGACTTTAGACATGGAAGAAACTTCAACCAATCACCACCTAAGTTTGACTTTCAATACTGACAAAAGGTTTTGGTTTGGTTTGGTGGGATTCAATCAAGATTTATTTATGGTTTCTTTCGATATAATACGGTTTTCGTTTTATTTATTGTTTCTTCCAATATAATACGGTTTTAAGTGCTTTTGAGAAGCGTACTCGCGCAATGCAGCGAGATACATCATGATTTTAATATTTCATTTTATTCTTTATCTCAGTCGATGTTATAATATGGCTTTATGTGATTTTGAGAAAGCGATGATATTTTT